ATTTCATCCGCAACCAAAGAACACCAAACGCCAAAAAAAAGAGAAAGATCGAAATTAAAGCCAACAAGTTGATGAAGAGAAGAAACGCAATTAAAGAGGGTGACTTCAATTTTTATTCGTCGATTGCTAGAAAAAAAATGAAGATGTAAGAGAACAGATCTAGATTTGAAATGGAGATTGTGAGAGAAAAAGTAAGAGAGAAAGAATAGAAAAAGAGAAAGGATCTGGAAAGATATTGGAAAAAGGAAGAGAGAAGGAATAAAGTAAAGTTGCAGAGAAAAAGTTATTCTTTCTCTTTTATTGAAAAGTCAGCCATAAAGGGAAACTCATTAATTCAAATAACAGACAAAAATGCCCCTAACAATCCCGCTTCAATGACAGCCACACGATCCGTCCGCCCCAGATCAACGATTCCTAAGTGGTTACTGACGGGTGAGTAACAAACGGTTACTCACCCTATCCCAAGCCTAGCTGACCTGCGGGCTTGTGCACGACGCGTGATCCTTTGACCTTTAGGTATGCTTGTCCATTGGTTGCTTGGGATTAGTTTCCCCAACCTATTTCACAATTTCCATCTCCTAATATCATGTGAAGATAAACATTATTGATCTGCTTCTTTTTATTCCTTCTTCACTACTGGCTTCCCTTTACCCTTTGTTCAATGTGGAAGAACGAGTATGTTAATGTGACATTGTAGAACTAGAAGTGGCAAATGGATTGGTGGATTTATAGATTGGATTAAATGGGTTGGTCCATAAATCTAAATCCCAAACCGTGAAACATTATGTAAATTTTAAAAAAATGTAGGTACTAAAATGTTAGAATGAGAAATTTTAGGTATCAAAATGAAAATTTGATATTTTTCATCTAAAAACAAGGTTTAGATACCAAAAAACGTAAAATACAAAACAGTATAGATACTCAATTCTAATTTTTCATGAATCCAATCCATGAATCCACCAATCCAATTAAATTTGGATAAACTTGATTGAATTTAAATGGATCAAATTAATTGGATATTTTTAGTGGATGGATTGGATTTGATTAAGGATTTGATTACTAATTGCCAACTCTACATGGAACGGACATGGTGATTCATATTCTTCATCAGTAGAGGAGCTCCTAGCCAATCCAGATATTGACCACCATCGTTCCTGTTGAAGAAAATACATTTTTCCTCAATAAGGGTCGCTACTTGATGGCATAGATCATCACCATTGCCTCCGGAGAGGCTGATCATCTACTACGCCATTTCGCCTTCTCGATCAACAGAGACCAAGTCTCGATCTTCCATTTGTCAACTAATCGGGTTGGGGTAGTAAACCAAGCATGCTGAAGAAACGGGCAGGGTCGATGCGGTTGGCTACAGCTGCTGAAAATATTGTTTTGTTTGGCCCGACTTTTAGAAGTGCTTTTATATTACAAACGTTGAAGTCGGGCCAAACACCTCTAAGAGTTCGACTTTTGAAAAGGTGAAAAGTGCTTTTGTATGACATAAAAGCAGAAGTTTCGAGTTGGAGCTTCTGCGAAAAGCTGTTTTGAAAATACAATATTATCCTTACCATATTTTGATTTTATTTTGGAAAAAAATAATTTTCTTTCATTTATATCAATTTAAAACTAAAATTAATTTAAAAATAGTATTATTTAATATAAAAGAAATCTAACAAAAACCATTTTGACTACTTTTTATTTTTTATTTTATTCGTATTTTGTATTAATAATCTTTTTCAGTAATTTTACATGACCTATTTTATTAAAAAACACTCTAATTATTTTTCAGGCAAACACTCAACTGCTTTTTTTCCAAAAGTTCTTCTGTAAAAAAACTCAAGACAAAAACTGTTTTTGCATAAGGTACAACAAGGCCAAACTAGTCAATTATCCATATGTGGCTAATCAGGCCATAGCTCCACCGGACGAGAAACTGAATGGGATAAAATAACCAATTGAAGTTGAAACAAGAGAGAAAACAAGGAAAAAAGTAGTAGATGAAAGAAACCGAGGGACACTTGCAAATAAAGTAAGTAACACGAGAAGGAAAAAGCACAAATTTGAGATTTCCTTTCCAGTCAAGTTGATGGCCAATGCAAACAACAATTCATAACACAGGGTGATAAGGGGATAATCCCAAGTTCATCACCAATTCTATTATATAAACGGATAAGCAAACAACATCTCCAAAATATACGCAAGGCCGCTGCAAAGCTCGGCACAACACCACCCTAGTATTTTATTAAATATAGACCATAACGAATCAGGAAATTGCAGGAGACAATACTTCTCCGATTGGCTTCTTGTTTGGCGCTAAGTCGCCAACCCATATTCCCATTTACACAAAAATTCAAGAGGGAAAGAGACAACTATTCTCAGAGACCTCTGCATACGAATCACAATCCACGATGGTTGAAAAAGGAACAATATAAAATGACCACCAAAGTAGAAACCATCGTTTACCATCAGTTTTTTTTTTATCGGATTCTTTTTTTTTTTGATCGGATACCATCAGCTATTCAAAAACCACGATTGAAGGTCTTAGACGGGATTGGGAAGTCGAGAACGGAAAAAAGTAAAAAACACAAATATTTACGTTCCTCACTAATATTGTGTGTTAGTTAAGTCTACGTGCAGGAGAGAGAATTTTCACTATACTTGAGAAGATACATGTTATAGAAATGGAAAAGGTATATAATACCTTATAGAGACTGGCTAACCTAATCTAACCTAGAAAATTATTACAGTACCTTCTAGTCAATGGCAGATAATTTGTGTTCAAGTCGTAGCAACAAACGATTTTCAAAATTCTTAATTTTAAAATTTCTCGTCTTTCCCAAATGTAGAATTGTGCTTAAATCCGGTGAACTGAGCGATTTGGGCAAAATTCCTTCCCAAAACCCTCAACCAAATGACCCCTTTAGGTAATGTGTCAAAATAGAACCCAGATCGAGTAACTCGCTAGGTCAAACCGACCATCAAATCCAACTGCATTCCAAATTGACTAAAAGTCAACAACTCGCAACCCGTCCAACCCACAACTAGATTGACCCGCAACCCAATTAACCCGCAATCTGACTAGCCAACAACCTGATTAATCCAAACCTTATTGACCCGTAAGCTGATTAACTAGAATTGACTGACCCCCCCAACCCGATTGAGTCATACCCAATTGACCCAAACCCGACTAACCGGTGACCCAATCGAGCCAACCCGATTAACATGAATAGTTAGTATAATATATAGTCTTTCAAAATGAAGTTTTTCATTCTAAACCTAGGTAACGTTTTTTTTCATAAATGGAAGTTCAAAATTTGAAATTCACTTGATACCATATATTTTTAAGAAAAGGAATTTTCTTATGGTCAAAAGAAAAGGAAGTTTCTTATGGTCAAAAGAAAAGGTTTTGGAAAGAGAGAAGCGGGAACATTGGTATTTTTAATTCTATGGAAAAAAAGAAAGGAGGATTTTCTTGTTTTTTATTTATGGGATGAGAAAGAAGTGAAATTTTTTTTACTTTTATATTTATGAAAAGAGTAATCAGAGTGAAATATTTGTATTTTAAACTTTTTGAAGAAGAAAAGAAGAGAAAATTTATTGTTTTCATTTTTTTTTTTTTTTGAAGAGAAAGAAGCCGGGAAATTATGATTTTTACTGTTTTGGGTGAAAAGAAAGAAGGAAATTTTTTGGTACTTTCAAATTTTTAGTATTTCAAATTTTTAGTATTTCAAATATGAATCTCGAATTGTTATGTGGAAAGCATGACTAATTGAATATACTTTTAGTCATATATGGAATGGAATGTATTAGGTTTGAGAACCTATCAAGAGTTATATCACTCGAACTACCTTAAATGTAGGTTGTTTTATATCATAAAACATATACTTAATTATTTATCAATTTGATTATTACAATATTTACACATGATTGTTTAAAAGTTTAACAGTTAGTGACTAAGATGTTGTCTACAATAAATCTTATTCTATTCTTATCAGGCATGACTAATTAGATATCGTATATGTGATAACATATATCATGAGTTATATTATCTCAATAACGTCACTCTCGAACTATCTCTCTATTTGACATTATATATCATATACTTAATTATTCTCTAAAAGTGATTATCACAATCTTTACATTATCTGTAATAAAACTTATTGTAACCTTATATAACGAGTGGCTACTTGGCTATAATATATTTGAGAACCTATCATGAACTAATTTAAAAACTTCTGATAAACAATATACTTATCTCTATAAGGAGTACACTGACCCGAACAACCACTCAACCTAATCTGCTTGCAGCTCGCCCGACACGTAACCTGATTGACGTGCAGTCCGATAAACCCGTAATCCACTAACATGTTACTCGATCAACCCATATAGTCTGACTGAATCGCAACCTGATAAACCCAAATCCAATTGACTTGTAATCAGATGAACCTGAAATTCGACTACCCGTGGCCATATTGAACAAACTCAAACCTGTCTGATTGACATTATTTTATTTATTAAACAAAATTTAAATTGTCAATTTCGAGGGAGGGCTTTTTATTAAGAAAAGAAATTCTTTTAAACACGAGTGCATCAAAATTGAGTACGGTCCAAAAAGGAAATTGTATGGTAGTTAGCGATTTGTATTTTATTATTACATAGACAATATCGAATCAGGAACCAGGAGATGAATTCTTCCACGATTGGCTTCTGCTGTCGCTCTATTACGCACAAAATTTCGAGAAGGAAAAAGACAAGACAACCTATACATATAACAATATATAGACAATAAGAGACCTCTGTATGACCATCATTGAAAAAGAAACAATAGAAAGAGACCACCAAGGAAGAAAGACCGAGTGGATCTTGTCATCAGGTGCTTTAATAATATTATATTATCATCATTGTTCTTATCACTATTATTTTCTGTATCTAGCTAGGTAACATAAGAAAGCCGACAAATTATTATGATGTATATAAATAAGCAATCGGATTTCCCCTTGAGAACCCACACAAACACACAGCAAACGCAGCTTGAGAAATATTTCCAATAAAAAACCTCCAGAGGAAATGGCCACCAACAGCTTCTGCATGATCAACAGATCCCTCCTGGCCTTCTCTTTCATTCTCCTGATGATTTCCGGAGCTGAAAGTAGTACGTATAATATGTATAGTTGTCGTCTTGATCAGGAGATATAACTCGTCAGGTAACTAATGATTTTGAATATATGCAGCGGCATGCGTACAAACGTGCGATAACGCTATCCAGGTGAAGAAGAAGGATACCTGCAATCAAGTTGCTGCTACTTATGGCATGACTCCGAACAAATTCCTTTCTTTCAACCCAAATTTGCCTTGCAGGCATCTCTTCATCGGCCAATGGGTTTGCGTCGCAGGCACAGCGTGTTAATCAGATCCTAGTTAAAGCATTGCACGTCAACAATCGCACGCACATCTTTTCCTTTTCCTAGTTAAAGCATTTCATCCTGTTGAAGCATGCGATTCCGGGGATATATGTGTAGTGCATGAATGAATAAAGAAATTAAGTTTGACGGAATAATAAAAGAAAGGCAAACATTTGCCATAATGTTACGGTGATGTGACGTAGGAGATGGCGTTTTTAGGGTTTTCTTGTAAAAGGGATAAAACGCAAAGAACTCTCAAAGGAAATAGCAAATAAAGAACAAAAGCTAACTATTGGGTTCCAATCTTCTTCTAGAATATGACTCCTACTCCTCTTAAGACATGACTAACAATAACCCCAAACCAACTTGAACAAGGAAATTACTAATTAAGACAATAATAATAAAGAGCCAATAATATCAAATACGAACAAATAATAAAATACTAAAGATATGCAAGCCCAGTCTTCTACGAAATGCTACAATTGCTTGATCTCGTAACATCCCTCCCCCCTTAACAGAACCTTATCTCCAAGGTTCGTGGGATCACCGCACCCACTTCAACCACGATCGATGTAAAAGAACCTTTCTCGTAACTTGTGGTAGACCATGGTAAGAGTAGAATGACGATACATTCACTTTCGATACTTCCAATTACGTCCAAGCAATGTATCAAGGTGCATACCACCCCAAATTCCCACCTCAGCCAACTCTTAACAACATAACGCGTATAATCACTACCATGGCCATCAACCTCCTTCCTTTTCACGCCCATAATATGACACTTAAACCTCACTTCCAAGACGATAAAAAAAAAAGCTCCTTCAGGTCTCCTTTAGATCCCAACTTGCAACACCCTCATTGCTTCCTATGCATGGAAATTAACCAATCTCCCTTCCCCAATTCATTCTTTTTATGATGAGCCCTAAACTAGGTCTCTTGTATCAGAATAGCACAGTTGAGGATTGGATTCAATCCCAAGTTCTCAAGAACAGGGTCTGTATTATGTGGGTTCGGGGGAAAAGTTTTCGTGCAACTTTCACAAGGGAAAGAGGCTCGAGAACTATGGTCAATGCTTGGCCACGATCAGGGTGGAGAGCTGATCGATACAAGCTATTGATTGCTCGGAATCCGCCAAGCAATCCGTCCAATTCGTCAAACAACAAGCTCGATGAACCAAAGCTCAAATTTGTGTTCGTATTAATCCAAAAACTGCCAATTACAATTAACAATGGCACTTAAATAGACTCAAGCTAACCCTAATAACTCATAAGGAAGTCCTTGACACAATACAACTCAATCTACACCAAACAAACTCGGAAATAGACTCAAACTCCAAAACAGACTAAGAATCCTTATCCGATAAGGATTCGGATTACTTGATCCTAGTGGCAACAAAACAAGGTCGACACAAACTTTGGAGCTCTTCGATCGAGCACCTCCAAGCTCCATTCCGATCAGCCAATTCCTTGTCGTTGTAGCCAGAAACTTCTACTTGGATGTGGAACAATTCGCTGGGATTGAATCTCTGCCATTGTTCCAGAATCAACCCATCAAGTAACTAGCCCGAACATGCTTCCTGCCTAAAGCCAAATTCTGGCAGGTTTCCGGTTTTGCCATGCGTGTTTGAGAAGCCTCGAAAATGATTCTCTAGATTTCATCTTGAGCTTCCAAGCATCTCACCTTGTAGAAGAGAACTCCAGATGTAATACAAGCCCTAGAATACCCATTTCTGTCGAGCCATTTGGAAGAACCATGATTGAGAAGGTGGCTACCTGAAACCGTGAAATGACTTGGCAAATTTTCAGAGCTCTTGCCATAACTCGACGTAACTTATTGAACAATAAATGGTGACTTGTAGAGGAGGCCATTTCGGATCATATCATTTCATGCATTCTCCCACCAACTCCACATGACAACAACTCACGACGAGAGTTTCCAAGCAACGTGCAGTCTTCATTCAAGAGTTGCTTAGCCGTCATTGGAGTAAAAGTAATAGAAAGTAGAACAGGGGCTAGCTGCGCTTCAACAATCGCACGCACATCTTTTCCTTTTCCTAGTTAAAGCATTTCATCCTGTTGAAGCATGTGAATTCCGGGGATATATGTGTAGTGCATGAATGAATAAAGAAATTAAGTTTGACGGAATAATAAAAGAAAGGCAAACATTTGCCATAATGTTACGATGATGTGACGTAGGGGATGGCGTTTTTAGGGTTTTCTCGTAAAAAGGATAAGCGCAAAGAACTCTCAAAGGAGATAACCAAAGAAATAGCAAATAAAGAATAAAGGCTAACTATTGGGTTCCAATCTTCTTCTAGAATATGACTCCTACTCCTCTTAAGACACGACTAACAATAACCCCAAACCAACTTGAACAAGGAAATTACTAATTAACACAATAATAATAAAGACCCAATAATATCAAATACGAACAAATAATAAAATACTAAAGATATGCAAGCCCAGTCTTCTATGATTCGCTGGGATTGAATATCTGCCATTGTTCCAGAATCAACCCATCGAGTAACTAGCCCGAACATGCTTCCTGCCTTAAGCCAAAATCTGGCATGTTTCGGGTTTTGCCATGCGTGTTTGAGAAGCCTTGAAAATGGTTCTCTGGATTTGATCTTGAGCTTCCAAGCATCTCACCTTGTAGAAGAGAACTCCATATGTAATACAAGCCCTTGAATACCCATTTTCGTCTAGCCATTTGGAAGAACCATGATTGAGAAGGTGGCTACCTGAAACCGTGAAATGACTTAACCAATTTTCAGAGCTCTTTTAATAACTCGGCGTAACTTCTTGAACAACCAATGGTGACTTGTAGAGGAGGCCATTTCGGATCATATTATTTCATGCCTTCTCCCACCAACTCCACGTGACAACAACTCATGACGAGAGTTGCCAAGCAACGTGGAGTCTTCATTCAAGAGTTGCTTAGGCGTCATTGGAGTAAAAGGCACAGCAAGTAGAACAGGGGCTAGCGCCGCTTCATCATTTAGCCTCAGCTACAACCACTTCATCGCCTTGTCGTCCTCTTTCTCAATGCCGAGTAGTAGAGCCAGTTCTAGCCTCGTAGCCGTAGCAACGACGGCAAACTCTCGAGATGGCGCTCGAGCAATATTGATGAGATTAACGACTTCTTCTTCTTTGGCCTCCACTGATTCAGCTAGGGCTTGCGATGGTGATGGCACCGGCGTGACAGTTGCGAACGGTGAAGTCGAATCCTCCATCGTCTCCATGGCCTCGAATGCGTTCGCTTTGTAGGCCGGGTCACTAGTATCCTTCCAAAGACGCCATGCTTCCATGCATTTTAGGTTACGATTCAGGATCTCCAACGTATGGTTCAAATTCATGTCGATGGGGTGTCATTGTTCCCCTGGTGTGCGCCTATCCGAGCTCTGCTCTTCGGAAAAAGAGCTAACATGATGCAACGCCTTGTATTTGGCGGAAAGCTCCGCCAATTGGGTCTCCCGATCGGCTGCTATGATTATCGAGTCGGCGGTGGAAGTTGGCGGCTTCTCAATGGGTGGTGACTTTACGTGTGACGAAGATGGAGCCATGGTTAGCTTGGTGGCGACGACGACCATGGGTTGAGTAACGATTTCCAACTCTGAACATAGAAAGGAACCAGCTCACACCCATCAAAGTTAAGATTAATAACAGAGAAGATAAGTTAGTAATAGGTTGGAGTTCACGTTTTGCGTTTATTATGGAACTCTGCAAACTCTATGCAACTTTGAAAACACACTACTATCGAAAGAAACCCCAAAAATTATTAAGATTTCACCATCGGCCAAACACACTTCAGGTCACACATCTCACTTCTGGCCTTTGTACCCTTCAGTTGCTACAAATTAATATTAGAGAAAATCATACGATAAGCAGCAAGAAAGTACAACTATGCATTTGCCTTAATAAATCCCCCAATGCAACTAATTCAAGTAGCACAATCTCATTTTGCAATTCACAATCAGCAGCGAGTAATATCACACGAATATTGACATTCGACATTCATTCTTTAAAATATAAAGAGTGGATACGCTTTATTGCCCAAAACCGCTATTTACTGTTTCACTTCTTGTCGTTTTTTGTGTGCACGTTCAGCGACCTCCTTTGGCTTTCAACTTGCAGCGACCGGTTCTTTCTTTTGGATTTGAAATAGCAGCCAACCTTAACAGATGATCATGAAACCTTACCCCTTCCCAGTCCACTCCATGCTTTCGGTATATTAAACCCATTGCCTTAACTTTTGGATTCGAAAATCCGGAAGGGCACGTCATCCCGTCTGTTCGTCACTCAGCTTTGCTTTCCCGTACATCCAAACCGTGTCTTCCTTCTGCTCCTACAGTGGTGTCCTCTCCTCTCCCAAACAGTTGCCTACGATTGTACCTGGTGGGAGACAAATGGTTCCCCCTTTCCCCTTTCCCCACTCCATAATCCCTTTCTTCTCTCTTGCAAGTTGCAGCGAAAACCCTAAAAATTTCCTCGCTGCTGGTCACCATGGAACCCGCTGTAGTGCACGGCGGTAGCAATGAAGATTCGGATGACACGGTTTCGTCGAGCCCTATCCATGAGGAGCAACAATAGAAACTGGCGGTGGTGGTGGGCATGGACCAGCAGGAGAAAGGGTTAGAGTTGGTGGAACCGCCGATGTTCAGGATGGAAGACGGGAGAAGCTCGGCTGCTGCCGAGGAGGGGACCTGGAATGGGCACTATTCCCTGGCCAGGGAAAAGTAGGGCGACGGTGGTGAGCTCAATTTTACTTTTGTATTAACCGATTGATCTTCCTCCTACCGCAACACCCAAAAAATTAACTTGCTTCTCAGTTTACTTGATTTTACTGTTGCAGGCACAAGCTAACCATGGAGCTTGGAGCAGCAGCAGCAAATGTAATTGACAATTAATGCAGAATTACAAAAACTGGTTTGGGAGGCCGGTGCCATCGACATCAGGTTCCCGTTCACCATCAATGGTAGGCCATCTTCAGGTTAGGACTTTAGAATAGACAATTTTGAGTGAAAGCACTCACAAGTTTTGCTCTTTAAGAGAGGGTAGAGCTATGAACCTGATACTGTGGGATTACCAGATGGGGAATGCTAACAGTAACAAGAGATGATGTGAGAGGGGCAAGAAGGTGACAAAACTGCCATTTAAGACTGAAACCAACCAAATCTGAGCTACTACTAATAATCAATTTAATATTTATGTTTTGTTCTTTAATATGTTTTTGTGAAGTGCACACGCAAAGGGGCTTTAGTGTTCTTACCGCTTCTTTCTTTCACTTGCTGTTCTTATTTCAAAGATTGTATCTGGTTGCTATTTGGCTCTGTGTGGAGTCTGTTGTTGAGGAATTTCCCCATCTCACTATGGCAGGTCTGAACGAAAAGTTCATTGGATTCGCATAATATAAGCAAGATTTTTCATTGTTTGTTCATCTTGGTTTGATGTTATCAGCTCTACTATTGCATCATTACGATGCTTTTGATTCTCTGGTTAGTGGGTGGATAATACATTAGAAAATGACCTGATTGTGATTAATAATGGAGTTCTCCGTTTTTATGAATAATAATGGAGGTTAATGTGTATCAAATTTCTACCCTCTCTCTGTTCACCATAAAAACGAGAACAAAGTTTCACAAACCTTGGACAAGATGGACTTCAGAATATTTGTGGTGTTTTGTTGCACATCAACATGGGTAAGGATTGCATAGATTCTTTTTATATATTAGTTGTTTCTCGGTTTTGACAGAATTACTGGTTTGACATGTGAGCTTTGGTTGGATTATAGGTTAGTTTTAATTTGCTTCTCTTGGATTTAGCAAAGTTAAGGACACAGTTGGTGCCAGCAAGCTTTGATAGTAATGCTTATGTTTCTATGATGCATGGTTCGTGGCTGATTGCTTATGGCATTACAGGTGGTCTCCGTTGAAGTTGCTTCTTCAGTTTTATTTTTCCTTCTTTGTTGGATTCAGATTCCCTTATATTGATTATTTTGACAGAATGTGTCAGCCCAAATCAGAGGACGAGAAAGCAGAGGTAAATACACAAGACTGGTTGGATATACTGGAGTTCACATTGAACTGAAGTCGACAATCATTCATGGTACTAATCAATGTTGTTTTATCTCTTCCCCTTTATCTTTAGTTCCTTTAGCTTACTACCTGATGTGTTAGGCCTCTTTACGAAGTTGAAATGCTTGATTGATGTCATAGAGCCTCCATTACCAATTGATAGAGTATGCAAGTATATAGTTTGTAACCTATAATTCGGCCAAGGATCATAGCTGCTTCAGTGGAACAAGATATGATTTTCTCAACTCTTTGGAGTCTCCTTTGTGAAAACATTCACCGAATTTAGATAAACCAGCAAATGATCATAGCACGTGAATATTCTCTAAACATATCCTTCCCCTTATGTGTTTTTCTATTCTTGATCCATCAGCCCTTTGTTTTTGTGAGTTTATCTGATGTCAATTTCATATTTCGGTATTAGAATTATGACAACCAGAAACTTATGTATTCAGAGAAGTTTGCAGATCATCCAACAAGTTGAAAGAAAGGTAATTTAGCTACACTTTCTCCTTCGTTAAAAGTGAAAACTACTACAAACCTTATTTTTTCTGGATTTGTAGGGCTAAGTATTCTTACTCTTTTCCATATCTCTTGGATTTAAGCTGAACTAGCTGGTGGTTCAGGGGAGTTTTGTGATGCTTACTTGACTTCTTCCTTTCTTAATGCAAACTTGAAACACAAGGGAGGTTAACTCTTATCATAGAGTCAGCTTTCAACATTTTATAGAAAATGTGTGGATACTATAGTGAGACTTTCAACCGAAAAGATTAGCATGGTTCCTTTAGTACCTTATTGTTGTAGGGACTCTAGCTACCGGAAGAGAGAAAATAAGAAATAGAGGATACCCAAAAAAAATACGGAGAAACTACAGGCTGCTCAATGAGGTCAAATTCGAGGAAATTGGTTTGGGGGAGGAGACAGGTTGTAGAACTTTCCAGAACATCTAAAACATTTCAGGTAGTTTTCTCGCTTTGTGTTGGCAGAACGTTCTGAACATGAAATACTAATTCATAAATTTGTATAATCTTCCATTGGTCAATTTCTGCATGAAAGCTCAAGGAAGTGAACACAAAAAAGAGTGGTGGAGAAGGGAAAAGCAAGGTGAAATTGACTACTCCAGTGAGAAACCAAACCGTCCACTGGAGACAAATACAAAAGGTGCATTTACACTAAGATTTGTTTTCTCATGATGTCTGTTTTTACCTTCCTGAACTGTTAAGTTTGCTTTGGCATAATAAGAATGTTACCTTCTCGATTGATGCAGTTTATTAAAATAGGGTACACTTTTGGGCCTTCATAGGAGATTAGTTTTCCATCCACTGAGTGAATTGAATGCTTGCATTGTTAATTGATGTAGGAATATCAGAATGGAGGGACAATGTCTCTACAAGTTCAAGGAATCCAAACTTCTTCACCACCATAGCTGAAGGTCGCATGAAGCATTGTTACATTGTAGATTCATCCATTTTTATCAAACGAAATTGTCTTCTTTTCCAAAGGAAATTTCTATCAAATGCCTATACTTGGAGATATCTCTCGTTTGTAGTGACTGGGGGAAACTACTTTTTTACTAATTATTTGATATTGTGTGGTTATGAAGAGATTTCGGACCTTCAAACATAATTTGATGTTTGAGAGCGATGATTGACTATGGAACTCGAGATGCGAAGGTTTGCCAACTATACTTCCAATATTGTGAAATTCAGCCCAGTTACAAGAATACAACAAACTCAATTGATGAAATTCAGTTGTCGAACTGCCCGCTATATGATCATGTTAATGCAAATCCAGTCCCTGCGACGTAGCCGCGGGTATTGATTCTAGTAAAGGAATAAAGAGTCAGTCACCTGTCTTTTTGCATGAATCCATGCGTTCTCTCCTCTCTTTCTTTGGTCTCCATTCCCAAATGCCATCCAACTCTTAGATTTCGCATCTGCCCATGTTTTGTCCACAAACAGAGCTTTCATACCTCCAACATAAGTCAAACATTTTGTACAACAAACAATCATTATAAACCCTAATTAAGATTCCAAAAACCATACAAGTATAGATAAAGATTCCCAAAAACCAGCGGCGGATCCAGAACACAGAAGTGCACTGGGCCTGGGCCGCATTTTATTAGAAAATTAGAATAGTAAAAAAATATCATGATTATAATTTTTTTACAATGTAAATTGTACACGACAGTATTTTAATTTAGCGAATGCATTAATAATGGAGTCCACATCCATACCAATAGTATACACTGTTTCAAATAAAATACTTGAGCAATCGACTAGAAATTCATCGCTCATTTTGTTGCGCAAATCAATTTTCACATGTTTCATTGTTGAAAAGGTTCTCTTCGTATTAACTGTTGAAACGAGCAGCATCAACACTAGACAAATCAATCTACTAATCAATTTGCATTGTGTTTTCATCCCTATATCCACCCGCTGCTCTAGTAAATTTTCAAGTTAACAAACCTCATATATGTTTTAGTCTTTTACGTTTTAAACTTTTTGAATTTTTAGGTTTCATTGTTTTTTTAGACGAATAACCTTTGGGGTTAGAATTTATAAGCTAAATTTAGAGTAGTGATTTTGAATATGTTCATCTGAGTTATTTTTCTAATTATACCCAATCTTATTTTAAAATAACAACGACCCGAATATCTAAAACAAAAAATTCATAAGGCATATATTAACTATGGATCCAGAGTAGGGCTGGGCCCTGGCCCGGGGTGGCCACCCCCTTGAATCCGCCATTGCCAAAAACCATCAGACAGAGCTAATCCCACATTTAAAACCCTAATTAAGTTATTGAGGTTCATAGAGAATTACCTTGCTTTCAATCCTCGTCATTGGCTGGGTTTCACACGTCGGCGGTAAGGACAATGACATCTTCTCCTCCTAGCCACTTACTCGCTGCATTGACTGCCGCAGGCCATAGAGCCGCTTCCTCCCGTCGAAGCGCCAGTACCTCTTTCTTCTCTACATGTTTTGAACATTTTGGATCTTGTATACATTTTATGCTCTCGCTTCATAAGTGAATATGTGGTATGTCTATATCGAATAATATTTAATAGTTATTACACACGCTTGTGATGTTTTTATACTCTGATCATAAATCATGTCGTAAAGGTTTATCACGTCCCATTTAAGACCGTATATAAAAAAATTCCACCAAGACGCTCAAATTTATTATCTTATACAACATATATCAATTCATGATTCTCGAGTTTGTACAAACTCTCACCCAATTAATCAGAGTTCAAATTATTGGAAAAATATACTTGATTACTGGATAAATTATATTTATCCCAATTGAAATTTGGCAGACATCGTATCCCTTAAAATGATTAAATTCTCTAAACCTCACTCATTTTTATTGGTGATGTTCATGAAGTCTTTGTATAACAACTTATTACAATTGCTAATATTTTAAGTTTGTACTAACCTTCAACCCATGCCTTTTGTCTAGATATTCGTATAGAATTTGAATCCAAGGATTGATAAATAACTAAAAAAACTGAATCCAAGGATTCATATACACTATCGAAGATTCTCATCTTAACATGTTCCTTCAATGTATAACTTTTCAACTATTTGAATGTCCATTCGGCATTCGCTAAAATTTCATTATATTTGGTGTTTGTTCTAGAACAAAAATTTCATTACTTATATTAATAATTGGTAAAGTGTGTATACGAACGGCAAATATTTCAGGTGCATTCAAAATTATATATTTCTTGAATAATTAACTTATAATTTTTTAAAAAAATATTTTGTAGCAAAATTTAAAAGTTCATACAAACATTGTGGCTTTTCACGTGTATTTAAATTATTGGATGTATTGTAGACACATCTATTGTTAATATCTAAACATATATATACAAAGAGTTTATTTTACTTTCAACACTAATTAATACCTTTGAACTCAACTCCTTGGGTGGAATATGATATCAATTTTTTTTATTATTGCCAAAATTTGGTATGAAATCACAGACTCACAACTATATAGACTTGTTACAATTTTCTTACTAAACTCATTTTTATTAAATATTCTTCTTTTGACTTAATAGCTCGGTTTACACTATTGTAACTATAAATATTTTTTGTTATATATGTGAAGTAAAATATTAATGATATTTATTACCTCAATCTTCGAATTTAGATTTTTCTTACCATGAAATGTGATGTTTAACGTGCATCCTTAACAAAGATTTCTCTAAATTTCACACATTTCATTTTTCAAGTGATTTCATGTCTCATCCTAGAATATGAAGTCAAAGTTCATCAACTATTATACTCAAGTCATTTTGAAAACTTCAATTTATAATCTTTAACAATAAATAACTCCAAGTGTGAAAAGAAAATTTCTTAGCATATGATGTAATACCTCAATAGAGCTTGCTCAATCAACATGACTTAGAGAAAATATTAGTAATGTGAACTTAGAATACATTATAAATACTGCATATGCGATTCATATGTTTTCACTTGATCAGAATGAATAAGAAGCTTTTTAAAAAAATAACTATTATTTCTTGGTCAAGTTTCTTTCAGACCTTATCGACAAAATATTATTATTTTTGTGTGTTTGTTTAAATTATTCATTAAAATGTAAATTATTATTAAGTTTTAGTAAAAATGAGCAGAAATTTACATGGTAATCTTTAATCATATATTTTTTGGTTTTAAAAGTGTGATATATATATCACTCTATGAACATTAGTATACTGTTGCGTACATCGATATAATGCAAAACCAAAATGTGATATATGTCACTCTCCATCATGATTGTCACGTCGGCCGACATGCCACCAGTTGAACCATTCAACCGGTATCGGTCATGAAATCGACATGACACCATTAGTATGACCGATATGATCGTTTTACTAATTTCTAAGTAAATTACGTAGTTTTAGTGAATTTAAGTATGAGTACATGTAATTTTATTTGAAATATCATATTTTATTCAAATATCAATATGAATTGTACGTAAATTGTCTTCAAATATGGTTTATATATGATTAAATTCATTTGATATTAATAATTTTTTATATTTCTACATATTTTATTAACCGGCATGAAACGACACAAACCGGTTGTACCACTGGTAAAACCATTCCACTTGCTAAACCTGTTTGATAACTTTTCTCTCCATATATTATTTATAGATATAATGCAAAAACAAAAGCAAAATAATTATTGGATAAAAGAGAATTAAATATTAAATGAAGAGAGAGGGACAACTCCATAAATAGGTCAATAACTATTTTTTTGGTAAAAAAAGATTGTCCACCTTGGCAACTTGAGATCTCTCCAAGTGCTTATGTGGCAAAAATTTAATTTTGAATTACCATAATATTATGTATAGAAGATAGATAGATAGATAGATAGATAGATAGATAGATAGATAGATGAGAGGGTTAAAATGGATAATAATAATAAAAAAGTTGACCACTTAAAAAAAAATGAGATCTCGAAATAGCTAAACTCTCCTATTCTGAAAACTAATACTTAAAAAGTCAAAATATCACATGAATATAAACCTTAAACTTCTGAACCTGTGATTTTGATAAAACTCTATATTCAATAATCCATATCAAACTCAATTTCTCGGACGGGGCATTTGCAGGGAAGTATTCTCATTTTCTCTTTATCTAGGTCAGTATCGTGTCTTTTTGCTCCTTGGAGTTTTCGTAGAGCTACCCGTCTAATGACAAAAAAGTCTCTTTCATCGGGAGTTCAATTGCATATGGACTATCATTCTTTATTTTTGTCTGTCTTTTGTACTAATGGTGTATCCCCTTCAAGTAGAGTTTTAAGAAATTCGGGCACATATCTGCGGGGAGGCAATTTCAATTTACCATGTTTGCAACATAAAGGAAATGCAGGCAACACATCATTCCGTGTAGATAAAGTACTCTCGAACCGCCACATAACTGCTCCACAATGTTGACACGTACATGAAGGTGGACCAATATCAAAAAATTCAACCAACGGAAGACCTAGTGAAATAGATAAGTAATATTAATAAATTTTTGTCACAGTAATTCATAAATTGAATGAGATTGAGAAACTGTGAAGCCGATTTAGGCGCGCTACAGTAAACACAATTATTAAAATAAATGTTCCCAAGGCAAGATAGATTGGTATACCGCTCATTTTAAGTAAGAATAAGTCAAATTTCAGGAAACACCAAAGTTTGTTCATAACACACAAATTTGCAGTTGACACATCAACATCTAAAAACAATCCACTATTTGCATAAGGTGACATGAAGCCTACATCACTAAATTATATGCATGGCATAAATGGGTACATTATGTTCTAAAACCAAAATAGGAAACAAAATATGTTGACCAGAACACAAAAACATATATCCAATGTACAAAAACTAAACCAAAATAGAGATGAACCATTTCATGTATAATAGTGGCCATTAGAATCCACATACTTTGATTGACTTCTGTAGGAAAGAAACTTCGGCCACGTCTCTTTCTATGCAGATGAATACGTCGAAGTAATCGACTTTGCTTTTGTAATAGAAATCTAAACTCCGGCTCCAAAACTATGAACAACACCAAAACACATATGATATTAAAGAAATAAATAAAGATTCAACAATCTAGAATAGCCTAATTTGTAAGACTTGCTACAAAATTTAGCAAACAACCACCTTGGTGTTCAAAAGGCAAGCCCCTCCTATGAACCTTCTGTTTCAAAATATGATGTCTTCTCTTACGGGCGACTTGGGATAGTATTCGCCGAAGTTGAGAGAGTTGGAATTGTAAGGCAGCTTCTTCTGCAGAATTTAAATATAAAACCATGTATTACTCATTGAATATATGAACTAATTAGAAAAATTAAAACACAGATAACACACCTCTCTCAAATGCTTCTTCCTCTTCAGCAGATAAAACACAGCGTTGGTACTGATCTTCAGGATGAATAAACACTGCTCGACGTTTCCCTAAACAAATGAGATTCAAGGGAAAATATTAATGTCAGTTTGCATTGAAGCAGTTGCGTGCTAAACCATGACACTCACATGGTACAGACGATCGATAAATCTGTGGTTGGGCAGATGGGATGACATTTGCACTATCCATATTAAATTTTCCAATAACCTGATGCAATCTGAAATAGAGGTCGTGGTAAATGATGCACCCGTTCCAGTAAATTTTGCAGCTGCCATTCATATAAATTAATTAATTGTTACAACAGAAGTTGAACTCCTCACCAATTATAAGTTTGTGCGAGTTAATGACACATACAACACACCACACAAACATAACAGTTGAAGAAAAATATAACTATATAAGGCATAATTTAAATTGATGAACAAAACACATATAACAGAATGGCTTCCAAGCTTGGGGATGCAAAGGAAGTGCGAGAAGGACAACAATGTAATGGCCAACACAAATATAATTCAAAGGCATCCATAAAAACCATATCCAAAGAGAAGTTTGAAAAAGAAGCAAGCTGGCAATAAGAAAAGCACTATAAGTGCTTACCAATTCTAGTTCTTCTAACTATACCAAGCTTATCCCTTCTTTCAATTATGCAGTTTACGCTTTGTACTTTTAGCACAAATGGATTCCAACTCTAATGTCACAATACAAATACAATGCAAATGAAGTTGAAGAACAATAAAACAAACTAATGGAGTGAGATAAAACTGTCCAATGAACTTATGTAATAACGGGAAAAAAGCCTGGTAGAACCAATACACTAACCAGTGGAGCATGCTTATCAATACCGCCTACTTTATACTTCTTTAGTGATTAGAGCTGAAAGTACATTATCAGGTCATAGCCAGTCTCATTAGATTAATTAACCTAGAAACATATGAGAGAAAACCTTACTGATCAAGTTGGATTTCGACATTTACCTGCAACAGAGTTAACATCAGAAAGTAAATTGATTATGTCTCATACGTGGTGGCGGGTGGGGGACGGCGCGCCAAATTTCTTCGGCGATGGGCTGGTTCTGGACTCAAGTAGGCCGGGCCTCTGAAGTATGGGCTGGCGAGAGAAATGGATCCCCGAGGCCTTATGGTTACGCTTTCCTTTTCCCCCGCCAGGCCAGCGGTAGTTTATAGCCGACCCTTCGGTTTACTGACCCGGAAAACGACCCGGACGAAGTACCTGGCTGTCGCCGCCGAACGTCTCTTTCTTTCCTCTTCTTTCTCTGCGGCCCGGAAAAACTCAGCTCAAAATCGGCAGTCGGCTGCTCTCTGGAAGACAATCTAAGCGAAGTGGAATTTAAAGTAAGCAGCTTTGTTACTTTCAAGAGAAAGGGAAAAATCAAAAATCCCCTTTTGATCTCTAGAGAATCCAATCAACAGAATGAAGTGAGGAAGGTAAGAGAGAATAAAGAAAACGGAATGAACCAAAGGTAAGGGAGATGAATCTTTGCAACCGAATCCCTGAAAAAAAAACCCAGAACCCGAATCCGTAAAACTTAAAAGCAGCGACAACAACAAACAGAAATCTGAAAGAGGAAGAATAACTTACGGCAAAACCAATACCGATCTAACGCTTAGAGAACGGAAATCAAAGGTAGATGCAAGCACATAAAAGAACCAGATGATTGAGTCAAGGTTTGGTTTTCTGAAGACCAAGAAACTTATTCGAATGAGGTGAAAGAGTGGAAGGAAGGGAAATCGGAAATAAAAAATACAAATTAATACAAATTAAATGAGAACGTGGGCCTGGAAGGAGAAAAAAGTGGGTAGTGGAGAGTTTTTTTGTTCTGAAATCAGGCGGGACTCCTTTTTTTCCCGCTTAACACTCTGCCACATCAGCTTCCTAAAATCATTCTATGGGCAGGAAATTTTGAATGGGGGGTGCAGTTTTACTTTTCAGCTATAAATTATACTGTTGAATCGGGAAAGAGGGATTGGTGGAAAGGGAGTATCAGGTTCGAAAAATGAAAGAACACATAATATAATACACATAAAAAAAAACGGGAGCCCCATTTCAAATTTCCTGCAACGAGAAAGTAGGAAGGACATTTTGGTCTTCACAATTACTTTTTTTTATTCATTAAAAAGACACATATTGGGATTCGAAGCATGACCATTTTAAAGAAAAACAAGGATCATAACCAATCCCACTAAGTACATTAATTGTATCTTTTTAAATTAAAAATATATAATAGCAGGGAGGAAAAAACCCTTCCCCCATTTCAAATTCCCTGCTCCATGAGCGTTTGTAGGAAGGGTAGAATAGGGAGTGTCAATTTTTTTTCTCTTTCCTTTGTGGAACGGGCCAACTTACCGTACACATGCGGATTTAAACGGGCTCAGGAGTGTCAATTTTTTCTTTAAGCCCTTTTATTTCTCCGTGGTGATAAAATATATATGAAAAGGCAAAAACAATACTCCTTTTTATTGCTAAAAATAAAAAAAATTAACAATAAACAAATGCATGGTATCTAATAGGCTAACCGCTAACCATAAAATAAAAGAGTTGAATGAGTCTGACCTACACTGGATTTGGCTATCAAGTAAAACAAATGAACATCATTGGTTTGTCATTCTAAAACAAGCTATTTTCTCTGACATAATATATATTATGCTATTATTTTATATCTTAGTGGCTAAAATATAATGTATTTTAAAGTTATTCAATGGTTCAACCTCGACCAACCCAATTAGTCCAATTTTTATCATTTCAAATATATATTATATAATTATTTGATATCATAATGATCAAATTATAGTTTATTTTATAGGGAATCATTTGGTATTTGTTAGTAAAAAAACTAAACAGAACGATGAATTTGGTTATTTTAAACATTAAAAAGATCCTAAACATTTTCAGTTCCTTTTGAATTTTTATGGTTTAATTCCCGAATAAGTGATGTGCAAATGGCGAATTGCAGTTATCTCTTTTCTTTCACTATTTTTTATTTTCAAATAGAAAGTTTAAAAGTAAAGAATAATTAGAATTTGGCATGGGTTAGTCAAACATGCTGAATTTCAAGTTTTGGCCCGTTTTGATCAAGTCTAATTTATAATCACATGGTTCCCTGATACCCGATAAAAATCTCAATCCAAACCAGTTTGGCAGGTGAGTCTGTGTTTACCACCATTTTCTAGGGATACGACAACGGCTGTTCCTATCCCAAATCATGTTGTTCGTTCATGATTTCCTTAGATTTTATCATGGCCTAAAAAATCAGAAAGCACAATGACGACAAGATGAAAGTTTTATAAAGCAAATTAATCGACCAACGGGCCGAGTAAAAGCTAGCAACAATTGTGAGATGCTCATTTCCCGAAACCGACGGGATAGGCAACTTTTTATTCAATTTTTTGGAATTCGGTTTCTATAAAACTTACTCCACCTCGTCATATTACTAGAAACAATATTGTTTCACAAGGTAACATGTACTTGATTTTGGTTCATAAGGCCGATTTTTGATTCATTGAATCATTCATGTCTCTTTCCTACTAAAATTCACTATTTTTATCACGAGTTTCCCCAAAAAAACTATACAACAATAAGCTATACACCTCATTACATTATCAAATTTCATACCTCACCTTCCTCCGGCCAACTGGCTGGGGCCCATGCTAGTTGATTTCTAGAGGGAGGAAAGCGATGGATGGAGGGAGGAAGGAGCGAGAAGGGAAAGATTGGATTTTGTTTGTAAAAAGAAGCAAAATTTTAGAAGTTTGGTGGGAATACCAAAATTTGAGAGCCAAGATTTAAAAATTAGAATTTTCAGTCATGTTGTGTCAGTTCATACATAACTGGTACAATATTATAAAAAAATGAATCATTATTTGCCGTCCTACTATTTATTATTTGCAGCCCATAGTTCTAAAATATAAGACGATTTTGCCCTTCTTCTAACCAACCCTAAACCTATCTAACTCATCCCCTCACAACCTCCTCCCTCCTCCCACCCGCGCCGACCCTGCCTTCCACTCTTGCTCCCACCGCCACCGACCAACTTCCTCCCTCCTTCCACAACATCCTACAGCCACTGACCCCTCCATTCCTCCGACCTGGTCCCGCCGAGCCTTCCATTCGTCCGACCTCACACCCTCCCCTCACAAAGTTGTCGGCGTTGAAGGGGAAGGAGCTCGCAGTGGGTGATGTCGTCGCCATCGTAGAGGAAGGAGTTTTCCGAGAAGCCAAACGTTTTTTGTGGCGGCCGCTCACTAGTGTCGGATGGGGTCCGAGATCCGGCGGCGGAAGGGGTCCAAGATCCGACGGCGGACGGGGTCCGAATTCCGACGGCGGATGGGGTCCGAAACTCAGCGTCGGACGGTTACTTTTTTTTCCGTAAATAACAACCACTAATTGTATTTTCCTATTTAACAACCCTACGTAATTTCCTTTCACTAACTAAATCCTTAATTGTTAATTATATTTTTTGGTAACGGCCATTAATGGACTCCTCTCTTTACCGCTGCTTTTACTTTTTTGCAACTAAATATTATTTTGTAGGTAAAGCACTTAAATAATTGTTAAATTTAAGAATTAATTTTTAAATTATGAATTGCAATTATGCTAATTTAGCGTAGTGTTCAGTTATGGATTCCTTCCCAATTACTCAAGTCTCATCTCATTATATTAAATTAATTCAACAGTATAATTTATAGCTGAAAAGTAAAACTGCAACCTCCATTCAAATTTTCCTGCCCATAGAGTGATTTTAGGAAGCTGATGTGGCAGGATGTTAAGCGGGAAAAAAATAAAACTCCCCGCCCAGAACTAAGAAACCGTCCCTCCCCAACTTTTCTCCTGTTTCCCACGTCATCATTTAATTTTATTTTAGTTTTCGTTTGACTGAAATTAAGCCCACCTTTTCTACTGGTTATTAAGAGAGAGAAGAAACTCACGGAAAGGGAAGCGCAATTGCAAGCACATTACAGAGAGAGGGGGGAAAGGTGAAAGGGAGGGGAAGGAAGGAGGTTGCTTACCCTTTTACAGATACGATCTGCGGAAGGAATGGAAGAAGCGATTAGGCAGGCGCAGAGGAGCTCCCGTTGGCGGTAATAGAAAGCGTCGGGGTTTCCATGGTTGGGGATCAAGGAGAGCTTTAGGGAGCGGAGGGTTTGGGGCTGCGATGGATCGAATGTTAGGGTTTGGAGGCGGCGGGAATTTGGGGTTCTGAGAAGAACCTGGATCGATTTGGGGTGCATATTTGCAGGTAAACTTTCTAGGGTTTGGGAAGACAAAATTGAATCGTGTAATTGAGGAGAGAAATCGGAAGAACACCGTCTCCCCCGCAGCCACGAACCCTGCTTCTTCTTTCTTCTCTGCTTCAGGCTCTAGAAGGTCGCTCCAAATCGCTCCAGCTACTCTTGGATGGGTTTGTTCTATTTCTCCCCCTTTCATTAACTCTTTACATTCTGGGTTCAGTTCATATTCATTGCATTCTGAACGAGGGTGCTTTCCAAGACCCTAAGTTATTCAACTCATTACAAAAAGAGGGCATTTTGTTCCCATTCCAAAGCTTTGTCCAAATAGGAAGCTAATTATGATACTAGAATCGACAACTTCCAGCGACAAAGACGAAACCAGGAAAACACAGAAGTAAAAGAAAGATGGAGCCGCTGTCAAATTCTATTCAGTTAGAGTTAGTCAACTCTTTTCAGCATCACTGTTATTTTTAATGTTTGTACATTAGCTCTGATGACTTTGGATGGTCCTAGGTAAACAAAGTTGCATAGCTATGAATGATAACATGATGAGCTGAATCGTCACTGTAAATGCTTGAAATTGTGTTAATTCCTGACCCCGACTCCGAAATTTCCCCTCCTAACCCTCAACTCCCCTGCCATTTTAAAAAAAAAAAGAGAAAGAGTACATTAGTAATGACTAATGTAGGGAAACTGATGATATGATCTCATTGTCTAGGCATGTTGTTGCTTCACATCATGCGCTTAGCGTGTGAAGGGGAACCTTAAATCCCACTCTATATTTAGCTTCGAGTTGTTAGCTATACCCGCTAACAGTCATCTTGAAGAACCTCAGGCGTTCATTTTGTTCTCGCCCGCAAATTTCAATCCTGCTGAACCGTTGTAAAGATCTTTGCACAATTTTCAAATTGCACTATGATCCTGACCTGCCTCCCATTTGTTAAGCTTGAATCTTTATGAATGTTTGGGAAACTGTGGTTTGATGCGGTGATGTTGAAATATTTATGGTTGGAAATCTTGCTTCTCTGCAGGCAGCGTCTAAACTGATAAAGAGCTCAGTTTTGCCGACTCTTCAAGAATACAGACCCATAATTATGTCATCTCTCAAGTTCTCCAAGTTTACTTTTGGTACAGTTTCCCCTTAGTCAGGTTGGTCCTCTTCTTTCTTTTCTATTATGATTAGTTTGAGATTCGAAGTAGAGAATTGTGTTCCAATAGTATAATATTTTTTTCCGCATGCTCTGAACTCAATAGAGTCATGATTTGTGAAGTATCTTTTAAGAACATTGATGCAGCTACCTAGGTTATGTAACTAAGGATAAAGTATGCATTTATACTTGGTGGGAAGAGTTTTATTGCCCTTGCAAAATTGCAGGACTCAGAACTGAACTTACCACAAGTAGTCCATGTTGGATTAGAAAAGGCTGCCTCTTGATTCCATCACCACCTCTGCTCCCATCTCTACCTTATGGTATTCTCTGCATATTTAGTATGAACCCATAATGGGATATTCAGGTAACATCTTACATCAATGTCTTGGTATTTGTATCCATGAACCAGATTAGAAGAAGCACATATCCCAATTGGGTGGGCTCAATCACTACATATTTTCTCCTCTCCTCCACAGAGGACCCAGACCCAACCTGAAGCCATCAGTGTAGAAGAGAAGCAACCATTTATGTGAAAGCTAAGTGGACCTTGAACCTGGATAAAGAGACCGTTGTAAGTATCGAACGGTAAGTGGGGAGAGAGGGTAGTATATGGTTGCAAATATAATTTGCTAGGATTGGTTGCTGCTCTACTCAATTGACAGTTAATTGGTTTTGGAGAAGTATATGATTCCGTGGGGCAACAACATCAATGGTTATTATGTCTCTAAATTGGTTTTTCACTTTCGATGCTGGCCCTTAATCCTTTTTGGCTATAGTGACAAGGTCAGTTTCTACACCCTCCATTCTTTTCTCTCTTCTGTTGGCAGCAAAGTTGTGGCCGGTATGAATTTAGTTTGAGTCAGCAGAAGATGGAATTAGTAGGCGTCCAGACTGACTAGGGTGATAGTGTATAGTTTCTTGGGGTTTTGAACTCATTTTTTCAATATTCTTCAACTGGTTATTCAATTCAAAAGCAACAAAGTTCCATGCTAAGTTACTCTCCTTATTGGATCTTTTAGTTGTGTATAATTCTTGGTTTCGTGATATGGTATTGGAGATATGAGCAGGTGAGGTTTGGAACGGACCAGAGCATTAGCAGCAGTTGGTTGGGAGATGGTATGTGTAAAATGGAATCATGGTAATTACTTGGCTCTGCTCATATAGGTAGGCTATATTTGAACCTCAAGGGAAGAATTCTCTTGCCACTTTTTAAGCTTTTTGTTTAGGTTTCCAACATCAATGTGTGACTACTTTATGTCAACATAATCAAGCTTAATTGTAAGCAATACTTCCCACTTTGTACACTCAATTTTTCTGTGTTTCACGGCTTTCTTATCTAACTTTTTTGTTTCTAAATTGCCTCTATTTTGGATATAACTTGCAGTTTAGGCTATGTAATCGACAACTAATGATTTAATCCATGACCTTCGGAAGAACGGTTTGAGTTTACATTTTCCTTATGTCATTAGTTCTTATAAGTAATTTGTTGAGTTCTTATGCTAATGTACGGTCTCTTTTTTCTTTTTTTTTTCCTTTAGTAGTTTGGTCCAAGAAATCATGTGATCATTATTTTTTTTCTTAAGATCACTAGGTTCATCGATTTAGTTTGCCAATCAAGCATTTAACCTTCGTTTAGTTCTTAATTGAGAGCGTAAGATCATTTGTATAATAATAGTACATGCCTCCGATACTGTGTTAAGATGGAACTGAAATGAGTTTGATGTAATGTCTTTGTTTGGTCCACTTTTATTCAGTGTTCAAGAAGACGCGATTAATCTCTCGCCTAGGCGCGATTAATAGCTGGGCAGGAGGAAATCGCCCAGTCTAGCCCTGGGTGATTGATCTAGGCACCTGGGCACTCGGAGACGCGTTTTCACTTTGGTGGGCGAGGCCCAGAACAACTAATAAAGGGGAAATTGTAGTCTTTTTGTGAAAATCCCAAACCCTATTCTATTTTACATTTCCATTCGACTAGCCGCTCCCCCTCATTGACCACCAGTGAGATCCCTCCTCATGGTTGGCGACTTGGGATGTTTGGGATTGTGGAAAATGGTTGTATGTATATTTGAAGGATGAATTATGATATGACGACTTGAGTTTTTGTGGAATCTGGCTTATATATCATTTTTTTTACGTTTAATCTCGCCTAGACAAGGACTAATCGGCATGGGTTAGGCGGTGCCTCCTCGCCTAGACAGCGCCTAGCGTCTTCTTGAACATTGCTTTTATTTGGGAGTAATAGTCATCTTTATTTGTTGTTGGTAAAAACGAGAGCTCAGACGGGCGCTCTAACCCTTAACTATTAATCATATGTAGGATCTGAGTCCCAAGCGCGTCAAAGTACAACCAGTAGTTGAGCATATGACTCGGGTTATCCACAAATCATATCCCAAAATGAATAGTGTGTCCAAGTGAAGCCAAATAGTCCGCTACATAATTTCTCTCCCTGAACACATGCTCTAGCTGACTTCCCAGTCTCGAGCCAACAGTTGTCGCACCTCTGCGACTAAAGTATGATGAGGATGACTGGAAGAATCACCATTGACGAGGGCGAGCGTCGTTGCCGAATCTGTTTGCAGCTGAAGTTGTCGGATCCCTGTGTCCCAAGTCATGCTGAGTCCATGAAAAATCCCCGCCAGTTCAGCATGGATGATCGAGCCACCACCAAGATTGGTCGTAAAAGCTCTCACAAACTGACAGTCCTGTCTGCATAACGCTCCTCCCGCTGCTGAGTTCCCTTGGCTTGTGTTAACAGAGCCATTAGTATTCAAACAGGTCCTTCCCTACAGAGGTGGTTCCCAGCCAACTAGCCAAGCATCATTTCCACCTGCTCTGTAGCCTCCCCGAGAACCTGCCCAATCCTCCTGGAAGATTGATCAATCTGCACTCGCTTTTGCCGGATTTGGTAGGCTAACTGGGTTGCCGGCGCCAATAGTCTCTCGAAGACCCAGAGGTTTCTATTTTTCCATAGTTGCCAACAGAAAGTAGCGAAGAGGGATGCGTCTATCGGTCTATGGTATTAATAGTCATCTTTATCACTATGCTTTTCATTTTATTTGTTGCTTCTAATTATAATGATCAACAGATAAGTCAATAAAATATGTGATCGCGTTGACCAATCAATCAATTTGGAATTGTGCAAATTGTTCAAAATAAACACTATTTCAAGAGACATTGTTTTATGCAGGTATAACATCTCCATTCTCTACTAGCAAAAGCGAAGTCGATCATTTGCCTGGAGGGAAGGAAACATCTTTGGGAATCTTCTTGAAATTCCCTGACTTTTATTGTTGATCATCTGACCTTCCAAAAATAGCGATGAGCATAATGTAATTGTCCATTTTTTTCAAGAGGATAATAGATTATTACCAACTAATTCACTAATAATTCTTGAGCATTACGGATGGTATTCTTTTTAATTAATTTTCTTTATTATAGTAATTTATTGTTGTAAATTTTCACTTCATAATGTTAGTATACGTGTAACTATGAACATAATTGTTGAAAGCGTACTAATATTTGTGGATACTCGAAACTTTATATGCTATGAAATAGGTGGCAGACACAAGGACTGTCGTAAATTTAGCATATGTTATACTATCGAGCTAAAGGCCGAGCACAAAGCTAAGAACAAATTTATGGGCACACAAATTTTTGAAAAAAAAAGTTTTTATTTGTTGGTGGCACATATTTGTTATAAATTTTTAGAATCTTTCAAATGACATAGTAGACAAATCTATAAGTGTTGACTTTTAGATATCAAAGGCAACACCAATATCAATGATAAAAAATCCATATTGATTTCCTAAAATCATGAATCTTTTTCAGAAACTTAATTTTCACAACAAA